CCATCCAGCCTGTGGTACTTTGTTACAGCAGCCCTAGCAAGCTAATGCACCTAGTGAGGTGCATCCTTCCACCCAGCCAGCCCAAATACGAGTCACAGAACATCAGAGTGGAAAGAGCCTCAGATTGTTGAGTCCAACATCCTGTTTTTCAGACAGGCACAGGGAGGCCCAATAAAGGAAGAAATTGATCAAGGTCACACAGAAGGTGGTGGCTGAGCCTCCACCCAGGGCTGGTTTGGTCCTGAAACACTGAGCCCTGGGGAAACAGGTTGGGATGCACTGAACTGCCTGAGCTGAGCAAACACACAGGTAATTCCCCATGGAACTCTGCCCTACACATATCAAGGTTGAATATAAGTGCCGGACACACAGGCCCTGACTTCCCAGCTCTGTCCAGAGATGGCTATCTCCACAAACCCTGCATAAGCCCACAGTGACCTGAGAGTGCAGAGTGGGTCTTCCTTGGCTGGCACCAGAAATCAGCTTAATATAATCTAGTACCATTTGAGATGGTATGAAAGGAACATGAAGGGGGAAGGAGGAGAGCTACTGTGGTCCAGACCTGCCCCTGAACCCTAAAATCTCCTGCTGAAAGCCAGGCTGCCTTCATAAGTGGTAAATCTTAATTCCATTTTTCATCACTATCTCAACATTTACTAGTATTGTATTGTTGTATGTGTAGTATTTGTTGAGTGAGTGAGATTCAGAGATACTGCATGAAGTCAGTGCTCCAGAAGGTTAAGGAAAGAGGATATCCCTTTAGACCAGGTAATCAGATGCAAGTTTCTGGGGAGGCTAAAACTTGAGCCAGTCATTGAAGGATAGGTGGAGCATGGAGAAAAATAGTCATTCCAGAGAGGCAGCAGCCCCAGGGTCAGATTTCATTTCAGGTTTCTACTGCATCACTGAATTTGTTCCCTGAAACAAATCTGTGCTGGTTTGGAATTTTATCCACAGTAATGAACATTGACAAATGTAGTTTAAGGGAGCAGAGTAGAAAGAGAAGGCACAGTCCTTGCAACAAGGAGTGTACAATCGGAATGAGAAGATCAAGCTTTATTTTTTTATTTCATTTTTGAGACAGTCTAGCTCTGTGGCTTAGGTTGGAGTGCAGCAGCCATTGAACCAGTGAACCATCTCGGCTCACTGCAACCTTCGCCTCCTGGGTTCAAGTGATTCATATGCCTCAGCCTCCTGAGGAGCTGGGATTCCAGGCACATGCCACCACACCCAACTAATTTTTTGTATTTTTATCAGAGACAGGGTTTCACTATGCTGGCCAGGCTTGTCTTGAACTCCTGGCCTCAAGTGATCTGCCCTCCTCGGCCTCCCAAAGGATTACAGGCATGAACCACTGTGCCTGGCCCAAGCTTCCCTTTTGAAGTCAAGCTCCTGGGTCATGGCCAGCTCTTTTCAGCAGTGGCTTGGGGGTCTGAAAACAATCACTGGACTATTTGAAACTCTTCACCACCTTCCAGGGTTCCTGAACATTTAGGGGCAGCATTTATTAAGGAATAAGGGAAGAAACACCTCCGGGCTCACCTTCAGACTGAAGACCAGGCACTGAAAGTGGACTCCTCCTGAAGAGACATCCACAGCACTGCAGTGACACTAGTCAGCTGCCTGAACCTGGCCTTCTTGTGTTTTCTGTGAGTTCCTATCAACAGGGGCTGACCATATGAGGGTCAGGTCCACAGCTTAGCTCTCCCTCTGCCAGTTCCTGAGCAAACCTCGCGTTTCAACCAGGGTTTTACAGCCTGTCTAGCTCTGAACACCTTCATTATCCATCTGTCCAAGTTGAGGAGGTATGAACTGGTACCTGAATGATAAAGATCTTTTTTGGAGGTTGGAGAGGCTGAATGTTGACCATAAACTAGAATTGTTTGTCTTCCAAACTCTATGGGTTCATCCTGATAATCTGAAACACTTGTCTGCTTTGTGCATAAACTGGATTGAAATATTCTTAGAGTTCTCAATCAAGATGTATTTTTTTAGGGGTGGGCAACAGTTGATTTTATAAATATATTTTCATTTTCCCTTGTTGTGAAGTAAACAGTATTCCCATTACTATGTTTATTATGTGGCTAAATGAGAAGTAATAGGATTGAGTCTAGGCTGGGACAACACCACCCCTAGGTGTGAGGGATCTGTTCTTGCCTATGGAGAGAGGGGCTCCCTCTCACTGGATACCAGGAAGGAAGGAAAGAGGGCCAAGGGTGGGCTCAGAGTGCCTTTCACACATGTGGCCTTGGCCACAAGAACTTTGAGATATCTAAGAGGGAATTTCAATATTAAAAAGGAATCTTCTGGTTGGAGTTTGCCCAGAACTAGAAACTAAAAACTTCTGGCAAGATGTCTGAAAAACTAATAGCCCTTCAGGATTAGAAGGTAGATGTTACGGATCAGAGACTATGAACCTGGAGAATGTGCTGCGGGAGCCATGGTTTCTTGAATTTTCTATGCTATTTTTCCCTGTTCTCCTTTAGTAATCCATTACTATCTTTAGAAATGTCTAGCCTGCCTCAGCTGCTCCAAAGAAAATCAGGATAAACTTAATTAAAGTCCATGGCCAGAGTGCTCTGTAGGAGCAGCTATGTTTATTACTATGAACATCTTGATGAAATAGACAATTTCTAGGAAGATAAAAGATTGACTCGAGAACTATTAACCATGCTGAGAAAAACTGTGGACGAATTATCTCTACAAAAGGCTCTGAGCTCAGACAGTTTTACGAATGAGTGCTTTCAGATTATTATAGAGCAGAGAAAAAATATGGAAAGCTTTCCAATCTTTTATAAGGGATAATTTCATGACAAAACCTGGCAAAGATAATATACAAATGAATACACATGTAACATTATATAATATATATCAGTAATACATACACAGACCAATGTTAATTACGTATTCATTTTTCATTTGGAATTTTTGCTATACTATGTACTTGAGTATGCTATATACTTACACTCAAGTATATAATATAGAAAAAATGTATTCCTCAAGTATTAACATATACTGCATACTTGAGTATATAGTATAGCAAAAATCCCAAATGAAAAACTATGCTAATACTTGGGAGTATACTAATACTATATATATGCTATATGTTATATACTATAGTATATAATACCATATACTCAAATATATAGTATAGCAAAAATATATGCTCAAGTATATAGTATAGCAAAATCCCAAATGAAAAACTAATAAATTCAGGAGATATTCAAATAATAATTTAATATGACTAATATTGTATTTATCCCCGGAATTCAATGATGACTTTGATATGGAAGGATGCAATAGTCTACATCAGTCTGTCACGGAAGAAAAACCATAAGATCATCCTAATAGATTCAAAGATACAGATTTTTTAATGTAATACATTTTGTGGATTAGAAAAAAAAAAACTTAGCAAACTGTAGACAGGATTTTACACTTGTAATCGACATCCTGTTCATGGTGAAATAACAGGTACCTGTCTACCAAAATTAGAAACAAGGCAAGTAAGACTTCTAGTACTATCATGATTATATATTTTCTATTTCTGGTCAATAACCTGAAACAGAAACATAACATTTTTTAAAAGTTAGGAAATCAAAATATCATTATTTGTAGACAATATATCCTAGTCTGCCAAAAAAAAATTCAAGAGAAAACTACCAGAACTAATAGGATTTTAGTAGGGTGGGCAATAAGTTAAAAATATACAAATCTATAGATGATTATATACCAGAAGTAGCTAGTTTAAAAATACAGTGGGGGGAAGATTATATTTAAAGTGAAATAACAATATTAATAATAATAAACCTAAAAATAATCTTCATGAATAAACACACAAGTTCTATTAAAAACATTATTTAAAATCTATTGTGAGACGTAAAAGCAGACTTGAAGAAACATCATGTTCCTGGTGGAAACATTAATTTTTTTTTCAAATTATTTCCCAAATATTTTTTGAAAAGAAGAATTGTATAAGACAGGAAGGGAAGAGCAAGACCTGCAGGACTGCCCTAACAGGTACTGTATACCCTCATGCTAGAAGCATTCAAGAACACAGAGAAGCACAACCCCACCCAGCCACATCCACGTGTAAAGATCTAATGTCCCAGAGACAGGAAAATATGCAAGCTTTCGAAACACGACAGAATATGAGGCATGACAATACCTGATGTCAGCTTTGGAAATTGTGAAACTTAAGTTTTCTTTGTTCTGGGACTGTTCAGAAATCACTAATTATTCATAGAGGTAGGAAATTAAGTAAGACTGTGAGTGCCATCTCATGGAGAAAGACACCAATACGGTGTCCAAGTCACTTTTGTCACGGTTCTTCCCAATCATGTAAACTTACGGCATCTGATATGATACAAAGCCACAATAATCAAAACAGTAGGGAGCTGCAATCAGAGTTGCGAATTAAATCACACGACAGGCTACACAGCTCCAAACATATAAATAGAGAGATTTATTATTTTATAAAAGTAGCATCATTCATCAGGGAGTAGAGGAAGAATTAATGGTTAAAGCATTAACTAAAGTAAACGGTTTACTTTTGAGGGGGCAAATAAATTCTGAACTCAATTTTATGTGAGCATAATTCCAGATGAATAAAGAGTGTACCTAGAATTAATGTTAAAAAAACTAATTAGAAAAACATAAAGAAAAATAGCAGAAAGCATGGAAGCTTCATGAGGGCAGGGATTTTTGACTGTTTTGTTTATCGCTGTATCTCCAGCACATAGAGTAACACTTGTTGCATAGGAAGGGCTCAATACATTATTGAAAAGATGAATGAATTAATTAAATTTTTTTCCATTATAAATTTCCTGATTATGTCCTTTGTCACATTTTCTACTAGGGTTTTTTTTTTTCTTTAATTACTACAATTTGCTTTTTTAAAAAAATCTTCTTATATGTTAAAGATCATTCTGTGTACATTAGACTTATTGCAAAGAATCTCTCAAATTTGTTGTCTTTTCATTTATTTGATTTACATGCAAAAAACAACTTATTTGTACGAGGTTAGCCAATTCAGTCAATTATCTTTCATAACTTCCTCTGATTATCATTATCTACAGAAAGTCCTTCCTGATTCCAAAGAGCAGTCTGATCCAAGTTATTTCAACTGGGGGGCTAGCCCATCCTCTTCTTCTTCCAAGGCCAGGGCCCACTTCACAGGCATCTGATTCAGAAGATTTCCCTCCCCAACTAGACTCATCAAACCCCAAGCTTCCTTTCCCTGCTTACTCTTTTGCATAATTACACAGTGAGGTCATGTGTTTACCATACCATTGTTCCATCGCCATGGAGATGATGAGCCGCAAAGCACTGGCAAGAGGCCTCCCATGCAGGATGAAGCCAAAGAAGAAGACAGAGAGAAGAGAGGAAGGACACGCCCATTAACCAGAGGACCCAAAACATATCTCAAGGAGCTCATGAAGTCACCCTCATGCACACAGTTTCCCAGGTGTCAGATCTGTTTGGTAAGCACGTAACCTTCCAACCCAGCTTAGCATGTGGCTGTACCCAACAAGCAGCCTCTGACCTCAGAAGATGAGGCTCCTTTCCCCTTTAACCTCTGGGGCTCCTAATCTGATCCTGGGCTGGCTGGTGGCCTCCTGTTTTCTCTCAGAATATAATTCCCTGTTTGTAATCACTTTACTGCATCATTCTTACCCTCTCTCCTCCCTCCAGATTCAAATCTGTGCTCCCCTCTACTTCCAGGACAATCTCTCTAAGACAAGAATCTGACTGCCTTACTCATACTGTAAAGTCAAGTCAGTGATTAACCATTGTCCTAAGGGAAAACATTCTAAATTCCTCATGATCTGGCCCCTGCTTCTATTTCCAGTCAACTGCTTACTGCCCACTTCTTTGTGCTCTACTCCAACCATATTCTGTCTAGCATTTGAAAATACTGCTTTCTCCAACTAAAATAATAACTTCCTCTTACTGATAACACTGACCTAGGCAGAGTCCTAAGAAGGTGATCTGTATATCCTCTAGTAAGGAAATTAGGGTTCAAAGTGGTTCAACAATTTACCTAGGGTCATACAACTTTTAAGTAGCAGAGCAGAGATTTGAATCCAGGTCTTTCCAACTCTGAAAGTTGTGACCCTTCTACTACCTAGGGTGACCTACCATCCTAATTCACCCAAAATTGTCTCAGTTTTAGCACTGAGAGTCCTACATCCTGAGAAGCCTCTAAGCCCCAGCAAATCTGGATAGTTGGTTTGTTAGGCCGTTATTGCATTGCTATAAAGAAATACCTGAGATTGGGCAATTTATAAAGAAATGAGGTTTCATTGGCTCACAGTTCTGCAGGCCATATAGGAAGCATGGCGTTGGCATCTGCTTGGCTTCTGGGGAGGCCTCAAGGAGCTTTTACTAAATGGCAAAACGCGAAGCAGGTGCTTGCATATTACATGGTAAGAATTCACTTATTGAGAAGACAGCCCTTCTCTCCTTTAGCCGCAAGCCATGAGAGATCTGCCCCCGTGACCCAGACACCACCTACCAGGCCCCATCTCCAACATTAGGGATTACAATTCCACATGAGAGTTGGTGAGGACACACATTCAAACCATATAAGTTGGGTACCCTTCAGCAACCCCTTGCTGTGGCCTTTCCTGTTAATGCCAATTCATCTTTCACACACGCTCTCTCTCTCTGTCTCTCTCTCTCTGCCTCCTCCAGGAAGCCTTCCAAGACTACCCCACACCAGAGAAGTATATTTCCTCTGTCCTGCCACATTCCTGGGCCTGCCTCCATCCCAACAAATCACCTTATATCAAAAAGACCTGTTTACTTCTTAATCTCTTTTGCTAGAGGATGAACTTTCCTGCATCTTGGAAGCAAGACCCATTCATCTCTGTTACCCCAGGGCTTGACAAAAAGTAGGACCTCAATTACTGATTGTTCATTGAATGGGCAAATGTGATAAGAACTGCTCTGTGGGTACCCTGGTGGCCATATCTCCTGAGAAAGTGGTTTCTAGAAATAACTTTGCAGTCTCAAAATTCAGAAGTAGGTCCTCTCTGGAGCCTCACAATCAGCAAGCATGACCCAAGCAATTGCTCTGCTTGGAACCCATGGGCCCCACAAGGTCTATATCTGACCCAAACTCCTCTGTTGCTAGTTTTTAAGCCCACTGATATCTCCAATGCCCTCCTTAAAAGTCTCTGGTAATGTTAGCTTGTGGGATCCATTTACAAAGCTGTTCCAGGAAGGAGGAGGAGGGAGGGAAGGAGATATGGAAAATGCATCACTTTCCAAATGGCTTCTGCTCTGATGCAGAAATGGTGCTGGCACACAGAGGCCACAGGTGGAAACAGCATCTTCAGCCTGCACCTACACAAAACTGTTCTACCCCTACATGCCCTCTGAGAAGGGGGAAGACCCGTTAATCATCCAGAGAGAAAGAGAATGAGGGTCGCTCTCCTGGAGCTCAGGTGCGCTGCCCCATGAACAGGCAACATGAAACTTAGGAAGAGACAAAAGGAGAGCAAACTCCATTGTTGAGTGAAAGAAAGAGTTCAGATTCAGGCTGGTTCTGATTTATCCAAACAAGTCCCACTGCTCTGGCGAGAAATTGTTAGAATCAAAACCACCTGACACGTGTCAAAACACCAGCATCACTACCCACCGGCAGCATGTGAGGGGCAGATATTTGATCCAGCCACCGTCTTTTCCCTCCTGCTTCGCTCCATGATGAAAGCAATGTGTCCTGACCCCCTACTTCTCCCCACCACTGACACTCTGGAGGGGCTTAGGGAAGCCTTCGCAAATAATTAATTTTAGCTGTTGGGAGAAATACAGATGAAAAAAGGTCAGGGATGAGAAGAGAAGCGATGATGAGAGAACAGGAAATTGATGCCCAAAAAAACTCAAGAGTGGGGCCACAGCTTAGTGGGCCAACCAGATATTTGTATTAACAATAATCTAGGCTATTTATATGATCCCTCCATATGCACAGCACGTAAGGGTTCACAAAGCACTCTCACAAATGTTTATTAGCTCCTGTGGAGCACTGCACCTGATTCTTGAGGTAGGAAGGTCAATGATGATTAGTCTGACTGTGTAGATGGCAAATCCGAGGTGCAGAAAGGTTAAGCAACTTACCAAGTCCACAGCTGGTAAAAAATGGAGCCCAAATTTAAACCCAGTTCTTACCCCAGATTGCATTTCTTTAAGAAGCCCTCTTGTGACACTTAGGAGTGCCAGATATGGTTCTCATATGCCCTCATTGAATCCTTCTAATCCTTCTGGGCTGTACTCACTGCTCCACCCTTGTCTCCTTTAGCTCCTACCCTGCCAAAACATCCAAGAGATATCTTTGTGACAAGTGAGCATGACCAAATTTACTGCAGAGTCCCCTTAGGAGATCAAATTGAGGTCAGGGGGAGACTGTGTACCTCCCACCTTGGCTTCTGCAGTTCATTCCACCAACGTGACTGAGTGCTCTGAACCCCCACTGTGTGCCAGACCTGGAGCCAGGGATCAAGGGAAGTGACCCCACCCTCACCCCTAGACCATGGCCAATCCATGCCCATGTGCCATTTGGGTCCCAGCAAACCAGTGGGCAGGGCTGGAACTTCCCAGGAGGAAAATGTGGGAAAGTTCAGGGAGAACCCGAGGGGAAAAGGGGAGATTCTGGGGTCAAACACAAATAGGGTCAAAGGATTATATCCAGTGCCCTAGTTGGCAGAAAATGTAGGTACCCACTAGCCAAGGAAGTGGTTTGGGCATTGGTGATCACATTTCTTATTCACACCACAAGATATAAACATCCATTCAGCAAAGCAGACAGCCTCTCACCACATTTGGAAGAACTTCTTCTCCCTGAAATTCCACCGGTTTCTAAAACCTTTTAAAACTACATTTGACCTTTCAGCTCCTGTAAGAGTCTAAAGCAGATGGGCCTATAAACAGGGTCATCTACTGAGAAGGCAGAGCAAGGGAATTTCTACAAAAACTTTTGACTACTTGTGGGGGACCAAACTCCCTATTGCCAGACTCTGCCAACTTTTCACCCCACACTTAAAGGCTTCCTTAGCAACCCCCCTAAGCCAACCACTAGGATTGCAGTTAATGACTGCGACCAGCCTGGGAGCAGCCAATCTATGGTGGGTGCAGGGTCCTCTCGTTTGATGGAAACCTACCCTCCAATCTGGTCTCAGAGTTCAACTTCCCATGAAAATAGCACTGAGCAACCCTCTTGTTCCACTCAGCTTCTTTGGCTCAAAGAAATGCAAGTCTACCTTATTGCAGGGGAACTCTCTGCTCAAGCAGAAGAAGAGTTTGGTCATCTCTGGATTCGAGGAGCTCCCCAGGCTTCGTTTCTTCCCCAGAGCTCCCCATAGCTGCCCTCCCTCAGGGCATCCCAGATATAGGAACTAGATCTTTCATAAAGACTCTTAAATTCTCCTGTGCCTGGGGTCTGAGGAATGTTCTTCTGCTCTTCTGGTCCTGCCCTAATCCCTTTCCAGTTTCTCCAGCTGCTGGAGATGAAGGAGTAATGATTTCCCCCTCCCCCAAGAAGCTAGAACCTAAGGGGATAATGGATCCAACTGCTCTTCAAGCTCTCCAGCCTTGTGGAGCTCAGTGTTCAAAACAAACAAAGAAACAACAACAATAACAAAAACAAACAAAAACAAAAAACAAAAAAAAACACCCTTACATAGAGAAAGTACTCATCTGAAAACCGATAATCACCCATTTCCACAGGTAGGCATTTCCATGGCTTGTAGATTACCCACAGGTTTATAAAAGGACAGCTGGGGCCTGACATATCAAAGGAAGGGTAAAAGTTTTGTTGGCCTCAGAATGCTGCCCTGGCTCACTTATCTGGAGCCTCCATTAAGAGAGCCAAGGATGAGTGTCATCCTTGGCCCATGGGCAGCCTGTCCAGAGTGACCAGCTGGGTAAGGCAGCGTGGGCATGGGGGCTGGGACAGCAAAGAAGGAAGTGGGGCAGAGGGTGCTCTGGGGCCCACTGTCTCAGAAACAATCTCTGGTGTTTTGGGGACAATGCACAGAGGCCAAGGAAGGCTGGCTTTAACTGAGAAAAGACAGAATGGCAGAATTTTAAGGGTTTTTCAGAGATCCTAATGCCTCCTTCGATTGTCCCTTACTTCCACATAAAATGCAACATTAGCAGTACAGTTCTTTGAGAGGTAATAAGCCTGGACCCAAACCCCAGTAACTCTACCCCAAGTTGGCACTCAGTGACATTATTTCCAAATTTCCAACCCCCAGAACCTTGCCATTAAGATAAAAACCACCAATAATACCAATATACCATTACACATTGTGTCCCTGCATTTTTGTTTGTTTTTTGGTTTTGGTTTTTTGTTTATTTGTTTGTTTGTATTTTGAGACAGGGTCTGGCTCTGTCACCCAGGCTGGGGCACAGCAATCATGGCTCACTGCAACCTCAACCTCCCCAGCTCAAGTGATCCTCCCACTTTAGCCTCCCGAGTAGCTGGGACTACAGGGATGCACCACCACACCTGGCTAATTTTTGTATTCTTTTGTAGAGACAGGCTTTCACCATGTTGCCCAGGCTGGTCTCAAACTCCTGGGCTCAAGCGATCCTCCTGCCCTGGCCTCCCAAAGTGCTAGTATTAGAGATGTGAGCCACCATGCCTAGCCCCTGTGCTTCATTTCTCTAGCAAATTGTTTTTGGTTTAAAAGTGACTTATAACCTTCTATCAGAGCTTCAGAGAGGCAGTGGCTGCAGGGAAAGACTCAGAGAGGAGAACTAGACTCTCGCCCCACTATGCCATAGTGGCCCGTGCCTTCTGGTCTTTTCCTTTCCACTGATTCTGCTCTTCTGCAGGTATAATTAGAAGGATGGGGTAAAGCTGGAGTAGGGTGGGTCTTTCATTCAATATAGTGGGTGCCCTTATAAAAATGAGGTATCTGGTTGCAGGGCCACACACTCAAGAAGAACACCATGTGGGGATGAAGGCAGAGAGCAAGGTGATGCAGCTGAAACCAAGGACGCTGAAGACTTCCTGCAAACCCCCAGAAGCTGGGGGAGAGGCCCTGCCAGACTTCAGAAGGAGCCAACCCTGCTGATACCTTGACCTTGAACTCCTAGCCCCAGAACTATGAGAAATAAATTTCTGTTATTTAAGCCACTCAGTTGTCTTACTTGGTTGTGGCAGCCCTGAGAGGCTAATTCTCAGCACTTTCTCTGGATGTCCTCAACACTCTCCTGGTTCTCCTCCTGCCTCGGAAGCACTCCTCAGCTGGTTCCTTTCATTTCTCCAGAGTTTATATAGGAGTCTCCTGAGCCAAGCAACTCCCACCTCTTCTTTTCTTTCCCAACATTCTGTCCCTGGGTAATTTCCAATTGTCCCATGGGGCTTTAGAAACCACATATGTGCCAATTTAAAATTACCTCTCCCAGACCCATAGATCTAATGGCCTACTTGGCATCTCCCAGTGAATACTTAACAGGCATCTCGAACATAAGAAGTCCAAAGCCTTCCCCCAAGGGGCTGGGTAGCAGACTGGGCCCCAGGCCCCAAGGAGAAGGGGCTCATCTCAGGCCAAGCCTTGGGATCAGTTGATGCTGTACCCTGGGAGAGAAGTGGCTCTGCTCTGGCACATTGGCTCAACAGGATGTGAGTCCCAGGGAATGCTGGGCGTTCGGGTACAGTGGAGAATGGGACAGATGTGGTGCCTGCCCGTGGAGCCCATATTCTTGACTCTCCCAATGCATTTCTATCCCAGTCCATAAGAAATTGTACAGGCCGGCTGGCAGAAAACACTTCAGGACTACTAACATGTCTAAATTTTAATCTAAATTTGCCATGTTAAGAAAAACAGCCCTTTTACATTTCAAAACTAAACCACACTTGGGCAAGTTGAGTGGACAAAGCTTTATCATTATGGGTGGGTAATGTGGAGGGGTGGGGGATGGAATTGAAAGTGGAGGGTGTACTGGAGATATGAATCATGCCAATGAGCATAGCCATTATCTGTTTGTATAGACAGATTATTCCAAAGGATATAAGTTATTCCTCCAAAGTTAGGTCAGAATTCAAACAGTGAACACTAAAATTACTTAATGTGCTATTTTTTTTAAATGTGCAAACAAGCCAGCAAATAATATTCACTAACAGGAGAAAACCAACATTGTCAAACACTTTCAAGGCCTGTACAAAGTATAATAATTTAAATTATTTCCACTTCACGAAAACAATTATTCCTCCTCCATCACTGTCCTTCCATGTTTAGGAAGCAATTCGCAGATCCATCCAAATTTATATCCAAATTGCAGCTTTTAAAAAGGAAGCTCATCAACGATTCTGATGGGCTATGCTTCCCGCCAATCCCAGTGCATTTCACTCTTTCAGTACCTGAGGGTCCCATCCTGTTATCTAGATATGCCATCCTGTGAGCCCCAGCTTGGCCTCATGTCTCTGCCACTTGGCTTGGCATCATTAGAATAGCATTTCACTTGAGAACTCAGGACCACCCAGAACTCGGATTCCCTGGTGGCCTAGGTTACTCAAGGAGGAAGCGATTGTGAGTCCAGCCTAACAAGGATGCTTTCCACAATCCCCAGGGTTTGGCCAGGGAAAGCTCCACCTGAGCTCAAGGTCGCCAGTGAGCTTCCCGGAGCTGACTGCTGAATTCAGGTGCAAAGGGTGGCAGGGAGAAAGGCTTGTCCAGGAGTACCTGGAAGCTGGACACAGCAAGTGCCTGTCCCACCAGCAAAGGCCTGCAGCAGCTTCTCTGGCAACAGGCAAACTCCTGGAGTCTGGTTTGGGCCCTCCTCCGTGTCGGGCTCTCATTTCTTGCCCTTCCTGGTTCCCCTTCTCCAGTTTCTATCTCGATGCAGATCCCCTGCCCTAGGGGACCAGCATGAGAGACCTTGCTGCTGAACAGCAGCAAGGCCAGAAGAAGGGACACCACACCAAGAACGAGGCTTAGTAAGGTGGAGGCCAGGCACCAGCCAGCCCAGCATGCTCCCCCCAGTCCCCTCTGTCTCAGTGCCTTTCCCGCCAAGCCCCTGTGATTCAAGGTCCCATACTCGGCCTGTGAGCCCAGCTCTCTCTGCCTGGGAACCTCTTCCCAGAGACAGCGTTTCCAGCAATTATGTCTCCCTTGACTTCTCCATAAGAGAACACTGCATGCTCTGGTGGGCACAGAGTATCTTACCCAGAAAATACAGAGGAGCCTCTGGCTTGGGGCCTGCTTGGGGTCTGCTTGGAACCAATTTGAGAAATCTTGGCACCTGAGTCTTCATCAGGCACACTTGGGATGCCCGAATCAGGGCCAGATGGATGAAATTACCCTTGAAATGTAGGCAAGATTACAATCCAGACCAGGAGGGAGGACACGGGCATTCAGGGGTAAAAAACCCTGGGTTGTGTGGTGCTGGCACCCAGCCATGGAAAAGAACATTTGAAAGTGGTGACAAAGCTTTCAGCTTTGCCAGGTTTGGAGGGTTAGCTCAAAGCTTTGGGCCGGACAGGCAGAGGCACTGAGGAGTAAGAAGGGGTGGACCTGAGATAAGGGCCGGAGCATCTCAAAGTCTCTGCCATCCAGGCCTCTGCCTCCCCATCACACAAAAGCTCTGCCTATAAAACAGTTCATGAGGTTTTTGAAACATGATGGAAACTTCCAGTTGCCCTCAATGATATTATTCCAGGCCAGGGCTGTGTCCTAGCTAAGCTAACAACCCTGGAGTTGATTTCCGGAGTTGAATCCCTATGCAAAGGGAGGGAAAAATGACAACTCGCTAAATGCAAAGAAAGAAATAGGGCATGGTCCCATGAGAATGGCCCTGGGCCTGGGGCATGACAATCCAAGCAGGCCAAATAATAGCAGATGAGCCAAGGGCCAAGAAGGTAGGTGTGCAGGAGAGTACAGGTGCCCGGCCAGAAGGTAGACAAACACTCAGGGAAAGAGGCAATGACAGTGGGTGGATGGAGGTTCACAACATCTTGCAAAAGATACTAGCTGCAAAGACGGGGCTGGATTCCAAGCCAGAAGACTGCAAGCGACCTGTCCTTCCTCTCAACCCCACCCCTGGCCTTCCCACTCCCAGGGCACTTGCCACACAGCTTCACTCGCATGTCTGTGTCTGCCCCATCAGACAGTGCCTGGTGTGTGTGTGTGTGTTTCTGGGAGATACCAAACATGAAGCAGAGCTGGTATTCAGTAAGAGGGTGTTGAGAGAATGTATACATGACACTGAGAACCACCAGAACATCAGAGGGGAAGGCTGAAACACATCAGACTGCAGTGCATGTTCTTAGAGCTCCACCCACTCCAGCCCCACGAGTGATTCCAGAACTAACTTGGCCCTTTCGGTTGGGTTTTTTTGTTTGTTTGTTTTTGTTTTTCTGGCAGAGCTCAATGCAAGAAGCCCAGAGGCCAAAGCCGCACAATTGTCCTCTGACCAGGCAGGTGGACAGCCACCTTGGGCACAGATCTCCTGATAAGAAAAGAGCCCATAAGAATGGTTCCCTCTGTGCTTCCTTCCTCTGGGTTCTCATTCCCTCTTCGTGGAGCTTTAAATGCTATCTCTGAGAGCTGATGACTTCCAACCATCTATCCCCTGCCTGGTCCTCATCACTGAAATCCAGACCCATTACATAGCTGCCTACTTGGCATCTCCATCCAGGTGTCTAACAGCGTCTCAAACTTAACATGCCCCAAACCAAACGCCTGACCACCCAGCCAAACCTGAGTCACTAAAGCCCTCCCCTCCTCAATCAACAGCAAATCCATTCTTCTAGTTGCCAAGCTATGATAGTGAATTTGATGTGTCAACTTGGCTGGGCCACAGTGCCTAGTTATTTCATCAAACATTACTCTGGATGTTCCTATGAGGAAGTTTTCTTTTCCTTTTATTGGATGAGATGAATATTTAAATCAGTAGACTTCCAGTAAAGCAGATTGGCCTCCATAAGTGTGGGTCTCATCCAATCAGTTGAAGGCCTGAATAGAACAAAAGACTGAGTTCCCCAAGCAAGAGGAAATTCTCCAACAGATGGCCTTGGACTACATACTGGCTCTTCCCTGGGTCTTTAGCCTGATGGGCCACCCTATAGATTTTGGACCTGTCAGCAGCCTCTCCAATCCTGTGACCCAATTCCTTAAAATAATCTGTCTCCCTCTCTCTCTCTCTCTCTCTCTACATGTATGTACACATACACACACATATATTATTGGTTCTGTTTCTCTGGAGAACCCTGACTAACTAATATCAAAGCCAAAAGTCCTGGAATCATCCTTGACTCCTCTCTTTCCTATACCCCACATCAAATCCTGCCACAAATGGTACCAGTTCAACCTTCAAATTACATCCAAAATCTCATGCACCACTACCACTGCTAACTACCCACCAGCCAGCTAGGTGTGGTGGTGCATGCCTGTATTCTCTGCTACTCGGGAGACTGAGGTAGGAGGATTGCTTGAGCCCAGCAGGTCAAGGCTGGCTGCAGTAAACCATGATCATGCCACTGCACTCCAGCCTGGATGACAGAGCAAGACCCTGTCTCAAAAAAAAAAATAAAATAAAATAAAACCTCATACACGCACCCAACACTCCCCATTACCACCTTGTTTTATTTTTCACCATAGCTCATACCAATATTTAATAACCTGTACACGTTTATTATTATCCTATTTATTTTCCCAACTCAAGTGCAGAACCCATGCAGAATAGGAAACTGTGTCTCTTACTCTCTCTTCAGGGTCTAACCAGTGCCCAGCAGTAGTACGCATGTCCGTTCAGGCTGCTATCACCAAATACCACAGAGGAAGTGACTTATTAACAACACGCATTTATTTCTCACTGTTTTGAAGGCTGGGAAGCCCATGAGCAAGTTATTGGCAGAACCCAGGTCTTGTGAGGGTCTGCTTCCTCATAGACAGCCCTCTTCACAATGTGGCCTTGCATGGTGGAAGGGGTGAGGAGTCTCTCGGGAGCCTAGTTTTATAAGGGCACTAATTTCATTCATGAGGGCTCCACCCCCATGGGCTAATCAAAGGCTCTACCTCCTAATAATCATGCTGGGGTGGAGTTCCATATATGAATTTGGGGACAACATAAACATTCAGACCACAGCAGCATCCCATAAATATGTGTTTAACAAATGAATAGGTGAACGGGTAC